TGACAGAGTGAGGGAGGGTGTGACTAGTGACAGAGAGAGGGAGTGGGTGACTAGTGACAGAGTGAGGGAGGGGTGACTAGTGACAGAGGGAGGGATGGGGTGACTAGTGACAGTCACCACCTCCTTCACTCTGTCACTGTGTCACCCCCTTCCTCACTCTGTCACTGTGTCACCCCTTCCTCACTCTGTCACTAGTCACCCACTCCCTCCCTCACTCTGTCACTAGTCACCCCCTCTCACTCTTTCACTAGTCACCCCCTCTCTCACTCTGTCACCAGTCATTCCTTCACTCTGTCACCAGTCATCCCTTCCTTCCCTCACTCTGCCACTAGTCATCCCTTCCCTCACTCTGTCACCAGGCATCCCCTCACTCTGTCACCAGTCACCCCTTCCTTCCTTCACAGTGACAGAGTTAGGGATGGGGTGACTAGTGACAGAGAGAGGGATGGGGTGACTAGTGACAGAGAGAGGGATGGGGTGACTAGTGACAGAGTGAGGAAGGGGGTGACTAGGGACAGAGGGGGTGACTAGTGACAGAGTGAGGGGGTGACTAGTGACAGTCACCCCTTCCCTCTCTCTGTCACTAGTCACTCCCTCCCTCTGTCACCAGTCACTCCCTCCCTCTGTCACCAGTCACCTCTTCCCTCTCTCACTTTGCCACTAGTCATCTCTTCCCTCCCTCCCCCACTCTGCCACTAGTCACCCATTCCCTAACTCTGACACTAGTCACCCCCTCTCCCTCCCTCTGTCACCAGTCACCCCCACTCACTGTGTCTCCCCCTCACTCTGCCACCACTCAACCCCTCCTTCCCTCACTCTGCCACCAGGTACCCCCTCACTCTGCCACCTGTCACAACCTCCCACACTCTTCCACCTGTCACCTTCTCCCTCATACACTCTGTCACCTGTCACATATGCATTCACACAGACACTATATACAAAAAGCACATGTAGTCATCCAGACATGCACAAGTACATTCACACAGACTCAAATACAAACATGCATTGATACACAGGTCTTCACAATATACACATCCAAAGGAATGCCGTATTATGAGTTATATTTAACATTTATTTAATGCACGTATATTTGGCCTTCAAAGGGCCTGGGATCTAATTTTGTCCGGGGGCCCCAAAGGCTCTCAGTCCGCCCCTGGTTCTATGTACGCCAGTGGAGTCCGGGGGGAACGCTGCAATCGCTGGGGGACTTATTGCCAGACGGGCAACCTACTGTTCTCGACAAATTCCACTATCACCAGGTTAGGTCCTACTATACCAAAATCCCGGGGAGAACTCAACTCCACCGTACACTTACGGAATTTGAACGCCTGTGCACAGACAGACGACATTTAACCCATGGGGTGTCACACTTATATGCTCTGCTCCAGCAGTCAGGGGATAGTTGCCCACTAGGCTTCACGAGCAGATGGGAGGAGGAGACGGGTACACAGCTGACGGACCAAGAATGGGACAAAATATTCCTCCTCACACATAAATGCTCAATTAGCTCGAAATTCCAGGAAACCAGCTACAAACTGTTAACACGATGGTACAGAACACCAGACACACTGAGGCACATACAGGGGACGGACACAGACGATTGTTGGAGATGCGGATTAGAAAGGGGCACCAACCTACACATCTGGTGGTCATGCCCTAGTATCAAACCATACTGGCAAATGATCAAGGCAAAGATCAAGGAGATCACAGGGGACGACATCCCCCTACAGCCGCTGCCAATGCTTCTACACCATACACCCACCCCAACGCAGGCATACAAAAAGTCACTGACAATACACCTATTGAACGCAGCAAAGGCCCTCATTCCCCTGCACTGGAAAGGTCCATCAGTTCCCACACTTAGACAATGGATAGACAAGGTGGAGACCATCTACGACATGGAGATCCTGACGGCCTCTATGCGAGAGCGCGCAGATAAGTGCGCCCTGACGTGGTATCCTTGGAGGCAGTATACCTCGAGAGACGGGGCATGAGTTGCGGGGCTGCGGAACCGACCTGAGGGGGGAGGTGTGTGGGGAGTGTGCTCTTTTCTTTTTTTTTTTTCTCTCTCTTCTCTTCTTCTTCTTTCTCTCTTTCCCTCCCTTTGTGTGTACTATCTCTCAACTTATACCCAGCACGGAGACCCTGAAGCAGACTGGCTTAGTCTGGAACATGCCCCGACGGACGCACTACCCCACAGTTCATGGACGACATACAGGACACAGACAGGCCATACTGACACAGCCGAAAAGGGGGGTCACCCTCCTAGACATAACGGCTGGGGTGGAGGCAACAGGTATAAGGCTGACCACACAATCCTAGTGAGTAATTAGTTTGACTCCCCTTCTCTGAGGGGGAAGATTTAGAGCGCAACATGCCAAAACATGACTGACCACCTATAAGAGTTGACACTTAAACATTCTACATGCACCTCGGGGTGCACATGGAGACGCAGGGTTAAACAAAGCACAGCAATCACTTGTCGGGTTGACCGAAGGTTGACTGACCTTCATATTACCCAAGCCGCAGGCATGGATTCGTATGTAGACAACCTCCAGATTTCGATTGTAGAAAATATGAGCATTGTTCTGTTACTTGTTTATATATGTCTTGTACCATTTACCGACAGACCCTAAGCCGCGGGCATGGGTTCGTATGTAGACAACCTCCAGATTTTGAGAGTAGAAAATATGAGCATTGTTTCTGTTACTTGTTTTTTATATGTCTTGTACCATTTACCGTTTTACTTACCGTATGCCTACGGAATATTTGAAAAATTACCTTCAATAAAAATGATTGACACAAAAAAAAGCCAAGTGTGGCTCCCATTAAATTGAGATTTGTTTACCCCTTCATGAAGTCTTGGCTCATGTTTAGGGGATTGGAGAACTATATTCACTCTGGGGATTGTTATATCACAATACTCCCCTGAGTATAATCACTAGCTCTTATAAGAGCTGTTCCTGCTACGCTTTCTGGACTAGGAGAGGTCTACCCACTGGAAGCTGGATCCTGGTCTTGGGTCCAGGGTGGGTGGAGAACGGCGAGACCCCACACCAAGCTGCGGTGGTTTGTGGAGTCTACGGTGGTTATGGTGTTGTACATTTCTTATGGTGCTCTCAATACTATGAAGCAGCGATTGACAGAGGTACCCGTTTGGGGTGCCAGGCGGTCCATCACATGCTTCAAACTGGTTGTTTTTTTTTGCCTTCTTTTGCATCAACTGCAAAAAACAAATGTGAGGAAGGTTGAACTTGATGGACACATGTCTCTTTTCAGCCTATGTAACTATGTGTGTACACAGCCTATACATGGCTAATGTTGGATACCTAAAGTATTGCAATTGTGCCAAAGTACAAAAGTTTCTATTTTTCATATTTTTTGTCATATCCTTTACAGAAAAATCGGGAGTTATTAGAAATTATATAGTATCCTTTATCTCTCAATATTTCTGACAAGAGATTCAGAAATAACATTTTTTTTTTTTTTTTTTTAAATGAGCAAATAATGTTTCATTAATCTTTGAAATGCTGGAGCATTAAAGGCGATGCTGCTTCTAAATGTCAAAGTTTGGTATTTGGAAGTGATTTTTTTAAAACAAATTTAAAGTAAAAAGTAAATACAGACATACCCCACTTTTAAATACACAATGGGACCAGAGCATGTATGTAAAATGAAAATGTACTTAAAGTGAAGCAATATCTTTTTTTTCACTTCCCAATGCATGTACTGCATTGCAATAGTCATTTACAGGCATAACTGATACTGCAACTGCAGATTTCCAGTGATTTATTTAGTGATTTCCACTGGGCTTTTATTCAGTTAAAACAAACAGTAAAAAAAAAAAAAAAAAAAAATTCTACATTGTGCTATTTATCTTTAATATTTTACTCATCTGACAACTTTAAACTGGAAGGAAAAGTAAAACCTGCCCACTGGGCCATTTTCTGCCAATACAGTGCCAATTTGTATTTGTTAGCAGCTTAGTTGCACACTTTGTTTAGAAACATCTCTTCATCACTTTAAGCATTTATCGTTTAACTTTGAATCCTCAGAATTGTGGCTAATGCAGCTAAGCTGCTAAGTCAAAGTTATAGAAATTGGCAGGGTAAACCATTTCACTGGATGGCAGACGATTGCAGAATATGGACAATGTATGGGCAGAAAAATATATATATATGTTCAGCTAGGAGTAGGCATTATTCATTTGAGATGATTAACCTGTGCCATGTCAGAAGGTGTGAAAAGTTCTTGCTCAAAAGACACTGAACTGAGCTGCTCCGGGCGAGAATAGAACCTTCCATTTCCTGTTCACTCGCAAACTGAAGAGGCGTGGGAATGTCTGTCCTCGCGAGACACCTTTAAGTATACTCGCTAGTATGTCTGTACTCGCGAGTGTATGTAATGTGAGTGTATGTAAAGCGGGGTATGCCTGTAATTGTAGCTGAAACTATGTCATTCATTTTTAATTGCATTATATAGGTAGAGTAATTTGCACAGTTAATGAATAAATTCATATATATTCACATTTGATGTACCTGCAGTAACTCCAAAACTGCACTGAGATTTCTCTAAATCAGGTATGACATATGAACAATTATGCATATGATCCAACCTATCTATCCTCCCTAATACACAAGTATATCCCATCAAGGCCGAAGACCTATGTCTATCCTTTTTTTTTGTACTCTCTCCTCTGATGCTCGCCTTCAAGACTTCTCTAGGGCTGCACCATTCCTGTGGAACTCAATTCCCTTCTCTGTTAGATGCTCATCAAGTCTTCACACGTTTAAAAAATCATTAAAAGCTCACTTCTTCATGAAAGTGTTTCAGTTTAAACTGTTAATAGCTCCAAATTGATTCCTCTTCTGCAACTGTCATAAAAAACACACTAAGTCTTCAGTAAATACTATTCTACCCATCTACTTCTCTTCTCTCACCCTTACCGTTTGTGTCACTTTACCCCACTCCCAGAGGCGTAACTAGAATCCCCTGGATCCGGTGCAAAAAATTGCCCTCCCTCCCACCCCCCACGGTGTCTCATTCACTGGCACCCTCCCCCATGTGTATGATTCCCTCGACCCCATGGTGTTTCATTCCCCCCTGGTGTCTCATTCCCATGCCCCCATCCCCACCCATGTGTATCATTCCCTCGACTCAAAAGCCCCTTCATGTGTCTCATTTCCCCTGCCCCACAGCCCCTCCATGTGTCCCATTCCTTCTCCACCCTCAGCCCCTCTATGTTTCTCATACCCTCCTCCCTCCCAGCCCCTTCATGTGTCACATTTCTCCCTCCTGTGCATCTAACTTGTCTGGTTACAATTACGTTTGTTAGTTCACCCATTGTACAGTGCTGTGGAATTTGTTGGCGCTATATAAATAATAACAATAAGGATAAGTAAAGCAATATTTAGTAGATACACCACATAAGTAAAGCTACAATTAGTAGATACACCATTTCAGTAAAGCAACATTCAGTAGATAAGGTTTTAGATATATAAGATAGCACACTCTATGTTTCTATGTTTCTATGTTATTATATTATTATTATTATTATTATTTATAAAGCGCCAACAAGTTCCATAGTGCTGTACAATGGGTGTACTAGCAGACACATATTTGTAACCAGACAATTTTGACGCACAGGAAAAGAGGTATTGAGGGCCATGTTCAATGAGCT